TCAAAAACAAATATAAATGTAACAATACAGAGGCATACCATCTCTACTACTGCTCTGTTCATGATTTTGGTAGTTTGAATTATTTTTATATTTTAAGAACAACATATTGTAATACTTTATGTAGATGGAGTATGCTATGATTGTAATATGTGGATAAGGCATGCAGTGATTGTAATATTCTAAAATTTCAAACTTTCTTTCTTTAGATGAGGTATGCAATGATTGTATTACTTTTTTAAGTTAATGACTGTATACTTTTTTTTTTTTTGGGAGGAAGTGCACAAGTTGAATTATGTTGAAAATTTATAAAATTTTAAATCACCAAACTGATTCGGATCCATTCGCCAATCCGCTCAATTCACATCCGCCGAATTGGCAAACGTATGCGGATTGATTTTCTCTTATCCGTCAATCTGATAGACAGATGACGAATTGGAGGTTCTGTGACCGCAACCAACGCGCACCCACCCCTACTTTGGTAGCGTTTGGTTTAAAATTCAAATCATGGTTTGGATAAAAAAATTTCAAAACTCATAATCAAACTTTTTTCTAAATTCTTTTCAAAACTCTATTTTAAAAAAAAAAAATTCAATTTTTTATTTTGTTTTTTAAAGCTATTATTTTTATTTTTTATTTTTGAAGGAAAATATTTATTATTTTTTTGAAAAAATATTTTTATTTTTTATTTTTGAAGGAAAATATTTATTATTTTTTTGAAAAAAACATTTTGTTATGATTTAAATATATATGAGTGATCCAAATTTTTTTAAAATTAAAAAAAATTTAGGTCAGCGGGGCCTTCAAGCATTCAAAATACGTCGGAAAAAAAAAATTAAATGTTTAAAAAATAAAAAAATATATTCAAAGTTTTTTTAAAAATATTTAAAAATTAAAATAAAAAATATTTAAAATTAAAATGATATATTTAAAATAAAAAAATATAGTGTACAAATGTAGTAAATAAATATTTACAATAAAAAATATTAACCTAAGAAAATAAAATTAAGAAATTTTTTAAATATTAAAAAAAATGAATTCAAAAAATTGTAAAATACAACTCAAAATTCAAAATACAACTCAATTTTTTTTTTTAAAATTTGTAATCAAACAAATTTTCTCTTTTTAGAACTTATTTTAAAATCTTAAAATTCAAAATATAATTCCAAACTCAAATCATAATTCAAAAATTAAATCAAACAGAATTTGTTTTTTAAACCTGAGGTAGTGTACACTCTTTGATAATTGTGAAACATGAGTTCAGATCTTCTAGGGTAGAAGTTCCTGATCTAAAATCAGAACGACATGATTTTGGTTAGTGAATTTCCAAAAAAAAAAAAAAAACACTCGCCGACGGCGGCCACCCATTCCCCATCCCTCTGCGACGATTATAACTTGGAAACCTTGTCAATCAACCCAGATTGTCCAATGACACTCTGAATGTGCTCACTCTCTTATTCATTTTTAATTTCATTGTTCAATTGATATATATTACATATATTTTTTTTAGATTAACAACAAAGAACACTTTATTGATGATAGAAACCTTATACGTAAGGAAGAAAACATCAACAAAAAAGGGGATGGATGACGCAAAAGCCATCATAGCGAGACAATCCAATTCCAACTAGGTTGGTACTAAGCAGCTCACACATTCACATGGCAGCACCAAACCAAATGCCTGTTGGTGAAAGGCCAACAAATACCTACAATACACCACCAGAGCTCGCAATACAACAACAGATACACAAAAGATAACAACAACCAAGACAACAAAGAAACCTTATGCTAACAGTAGCCCAGGTCACTTTTAATCCACCCAAAATACCAAATCAGTAACCACTACAGACCATACCCCATCAGATACAACGATAGCAGCAACAGATAGCAACAAAAGATACCAAGACAGCAGAGAAACCTTATGCTAACAGTAGCCCAGAACTAGTAACCACTACAGACTAGGCCCCATCAGATACAAACCAAAAAATAGCCCTCAGATTCTAGCAGACCCAGAAACAACCCTCAGATTATATCAGCCCTTAGATTCTAGCAAACTCATACATTAGTGTAAACAACAACTCAAATTCTAGCAGACCCAGTAGCAGCCCTCAGATTATATCAGACCATACCCACCAGATATACCAATCTAGGATCCAAATCAACAGGCAAGTTGTTGATTAAATCTATGGCAATCCTTAACTGCATTCCTTAATTTGAGCCAAATTGTTGATTTAATCCATGGCAGAGTACATGTTCCCTTTTAAAGAAACTTTCACCCATAAAGCAAATCTAATCTTAATAAGCTCATCTAACTCAGACCCACATGGCTACACTCCATTAAAAATACAATCATTCTTTAACTTCCAAATGGACCAAAACACAATAGATGGCAAGGCTCTCCACAATCTCCTAACTAGTTTCTTATGATTCCAACCTAACCACCATGAAATAAGCCATCAATAGTCCTTGGCACCACCCATAAACACCCCTACCAAAGCATTCAATCAAACAATACTTGCCCTGAAAATAGACAATGTAATAGAACATGAATAGCAGATTCATTTTCAATTTTGCAAAAAGCATATAATACAGAAGCATTACTGTTCAGAACACCAATATGTTGTAAGAGAAACCATGTTTTAACTCTATTCCTCCATACCAACCACCTAAAAAATTGGACTTTGGGGGGAATGCCATTATTCCACACAAAGTTACAAATTTAGAGAGAAGGGTCCAAGAGAGAATCATTAAACTGATATATATCTGAGAACTTAAAACTGTCACCATTAGACCTATTCCAAATAGGACAGTCTTCTTCATCCAGTCTCAGAGGAGAGGCCACCAGTAGCACTGCAGCCAACCTGTTAACCTCTGCCTTTTTCCAATCATTTAATGACCTAGGGAAGAAGAAGTTCCACTCCCCGGAACTGGATTTCCTTTCAAAGAAATAAGACAGTGTGCCTTCTTTTGCAATTTACAAACTAAATAATCTAGGGAATTCATCTTTAAGGCATCTATCTCCAACCCACTTATCATACCAAAGCTTGATTCTACTCCCATTGCCAGCCTTTGTTAGATACTTCCTCATAAATAACTCCATAAGAGGTTGATTATGACTAGCAATTGCAAGAACATCTCCCCAGATTCTAGAAAATCTAGTTGATGAGTTTATAGGTGGAAGCCAATGAACCTCCTCAATCATGTACTTGTTGCACAACATTCTTCTCCAAAGAGCATTTACTTCACTTTCAAATTTTCCCCACCATTTAAGAAGTAAGCTTGCATTAACATCCTTAAGTCTTCTAATTCCCAGCCCACCTTGATTCAGACTTTTAGAAACTTCAGTCCATTTCACCAAATGAACCTTCCTCTTCAAATCATTCCCACCCCAAAGAAAAGAAGCTTCAAGCCTTTTGATCTCTCTAACCACTCCACAAGGTATTCTGAACAAAGATAGATAATAAATAGGAAGGTTAGACAAAACAGACTTAATCAAAGTTAATCTACCTGCAAAGGAAAGAAGCCTTCTTTTCCACCCAGTCAACCTAGACTTTACTATATCCAGAACTGGCTTCCAAGAATTGATATATATTACATGCTCAACATTTAATGAAGTTCTGAATATAACATCTCCTTATATCTTCCAATCACCAACTTAGTGAGATTCACCTCCAATATGTATTGTAACCACTCTTTCTCCGATATGTATTCGTCCGATGGCGTCTTCTTCTCTTCTCTTTTTTGGCTTTTGATTTCTCTTTCCCTCTGTTTCTGCACCGTGCTTCTTTGTTTATGTTTTAGTTATTTACATGAAAATCCTCTAAACCTTGACTCTCTCTACATTATAAATATGTACAAATTGACTAATAAATTATTTTTGTCCCTTAAATTATAATAAAACCATACTAATGGACCTCTAGATTATAAAAAAAACATATCAGTTGGACCTTCTATGGAAAGAGGTCGGTTTTATAGTTTAGGAGTAAAGTGCTACTTCTCAATAATTTAGAAGTCCTTGTATGAATGATCCTTTTTGTTTTTGTTTTTTGTTTTTTTAAGAATTTACTAACCAATAAACGTTTTAGTTATACTTCAGTAAATTTTTATTAGAGGGTATTCGATCTCGTGAAACAAATTGTCCAATGCAACTATATACAAATCGGGTATATGAAATATGTATCTAATGCATTTTCTTTAAACATACTGTTTTTTTTTTTTTTTTTGGTTTAATTTAAAATCTTGCCATATCAATATACTCCTATAATACCTATACTCAGCATCCGCACCATTGCTTCCTCTTTTGCCAGACAAAACCACAACCTTGCAAAAGTAGGTAGATCTCCAAAGAGTAATTTAAAAAACGTCACGAGTGAGGATGACCAAGTAGACATTGGATATAATGATAGAAAAAATGTTTTAGCGCTCTAAAATAACATTCTCTTTTTTCTTGTTGTGTTTTGTCTTTTTTATTTTTTTATTTCTTGGGTGCATGCCTTTCCAGCTCAGTAGAGCTGTTGAGCAGCTCTACTAGAACTCTTGTCATATTTGATAATGATATTATCACTGTTAAAGTATATTTCATAATGTGCAATGATACATAGTTTAAAAGTAAAGTGTATGATATAAATTTAAAATTAATGAAATATAAGTCATTCTTACAATAAGTATAATTTATTGATTTGTTTTTTGAGATAATTTTTCAAGTAATTTTTTTTGATATGTTGTAATATTATTGAACAATTAGTACTGTTATATATATATATATATATATTTGTAAGGAAGATTACAACTTTATATGTAGGTATTGCTTAGGATAAACAAGAGAGTTGCTCACAAATTTATGTGGGGCACTTGCAAATAGTTAAGCTAATATTTTAGAATAAAGAAAAAATATTTTAAGCATGGTGCTAGGAAGAGAGCAGAGTAGAAAAATATAAAACAAAAAAGCAAGCAAATTATGGGATAATCATTCCAGTGGAAAAGGCAAAGCAGAGAGAGAGAGAGAGAGAGAGAGAGAGAGAGAGAGGGAGTAGCTTCCCTTTCCCAGGGCCTCTCACTCATCATATGTGTCATCATACACCTTTAGGTTTTGGCCACCCCCAACTTTCACTTTTCACCGCCTCCCATCCCATCTAATACTAATATATATATTTTCACTCTTTATTCCATTCCAACCAAAAGCACTTAAAAAAAGACTGCAAGACATATCAGACAGAGAGAGAGAGAGATCTAATCCTCCAATTTATCAGCTTATGTTATTAAGGTTATAACCTTATCAAGGCACTCATTCTCTGCTGTCTTCTTTTAATTCCATCTCTAATACTCCCCTTGTTGCGTTTCTGTCTCTCTGTGTGTGTGTGAGAGAGAGAGAGAGAGAGAGAGAGAGAGAGTACAGGCAGATCCAATTCTCCAGATATCGACTACTATTGTTTAGGTTGACATCACATATAACAGAAGGTATCTGTCTCTCTCTCTCTCTCTGTGTTTGTGTTTGTGTTTGTGTTTGTGTTTTTTTTTTTTTTTATTTCAATTCTATTTTCAAGATTTTGTACATCATCTCCTTTTCCTTTCTCGGGTTTGTTTGTGGGTTGAAGTGTTGAACCAGACTGTGAAGAAAGAGTTGACATGTTCGAGAAAATGGCAGAAGAAACAATTCCAAACAGTTTTGTTCAAAACCCAACTGGTGGATCCATTCCTCCCCCTCTAAAGAAGAAGAGAAACCTCCCAGGAACTCCAGGCAGGCCTCTCCTTTTTCTACCCAATTTTTTTATTATTTTTGTTTACATGTTTGTTTAGCTTTTCTTGTGGATTTCTTTCTTTCTGTCTAGCTTTATGAGCACTGGTATATTCATGGATATTCATGATTAAATTTAATTTTTACATTATTTGACATATGGGTAATCATGAAACAATCATTTCTCAGATCCTGAAGCCGAAGTCATCGCCTTATCGCCCAAGACCCTCATGGCCACCAACAGATTCTTGTGTGAGATATGTGGGAAAGGGTTTCAGAGAGATCAGAACTTGCAATTGCATCGGCGAGGACACAACCTTCCATGGAAGCTCAAGCAGAGAACTAGCAAGGAACCTAGGAAGCGTGTTTACGTGTGCCCCGAAAAGACTTGTGTCCACCACCACCCTTCGAGGGCTCTTGGAGACCTAACTGGTATAAAGAAGCACTTTTCTCGAAAGCACGGGGAGAAGAAGTGGAAGTGTGAGAAGTGCTCAAAGCGATATGCTGTGCAGTCAGATTGGAAGGCACACTCGAAAACCTGTGGCACCAGGGAATACAAATGTGACTGTGGGACAATATTTTCGCGGTAATTGTTTCTCTACTCTATCTAGATTTTAGAGTAATAGTGTTGTAATTTAATTAAATCTTTTGAAGAAGATAACCCAAATGAAGAAGATAAGGAGGCTAATGAGGCTAATGAGGCCTGTAAGTGTATTTTAACTTTAAGTGATTGTGATATTTTTGTCTATGTCAAGGAGCACTAGAATACCTCTCTCTTACTCTCTCTCTCTCTCTCTGGGTTTTTTGGGGGATGAAAAGAGGGATCATAGTGAAGACAAGAAAGGTTGTCAAGAAGACATATTGTTGATTTTCATTACTTGAAATATCTTCTTAAATTTGTATTGTATCTCTTTATCTGTTAATCAATGTCTTAGGCATGTCTTGGAAGTAATAATTCCTTTTGTTACTTTTCTTGATTGTGTAGCTGAGATGTTTTCCCATTTTCATTATTGCAAACCCATGTCGATGAGCCTGAATCAAAGTTTAGATTTTCACCATACAATCTTCTTTTGTTTTTGTCCTTTTTTTTTTTTAAAGGGAATTTTTGTTCTCACCTTTCATTTCTTAACATTGATATGCACATATGTACTTCTTTCTGCTGTATGTACTGATTAGTTATGAATTTTTTGCAAACAGGCGAGATAGCTTCATCACTCATAGGGCCTTTTGTGATGCCTTGGCTGAAGAAACAGCTAGAGTTACCGCAGCATCAAGCATCAACAATGCAATGACTAACAACATCAATTACCATTTCATTGGAACTCCAACAGGCCATGGCATGCCCCAACATTTCTCTTCAATTTTCAAGCCAATCTCAAACAATGATGAAACAATTGATCCAAGCAAACGAGGTCTCTCACCATGGATGAACAATAACAATAATAATCTTCAAGAGATTCATCAAATTGGGTCGGTGAGTTCAGGACCAGTTTATGGTGACCCATTTGTTCCATGTTCGAATCCTCCACCATCCGATTATCAGTTGAATTGGGTGTTTGGAAACAAGCTTTCTTCCATCAATACTGAAGAAATAACAAGCTCCTCATCACTTGTTAGTGTTCCTTCCTTGTATAGCACCCAACACCATTCACATCAAACATCTTCTTCGGCAACTATGTCTGCGACAGCTTTATTGCAGAAAGCTGCGCAAATCGGTGCAACTTCTACTACTACCGACCCATCATCATTCCTGGGAAGCTTTGAGATTAAGTGCAATAACAACAATGAAGTTCAAGATGGGAACAAGTTTTTTGGAATGTATGGTACAAACCCAATAACAACTAGTCTTGGAAGAAGTGATGTGGAGAGCTCAGTGAATGATATCTCCACCTTTAATCAGTTGCAGATGTACCCGTCAAAGCGAAGGAACATACAGAATGAAGACGGTACTGCTGCTGCTGCAGGGCAAACTAGGGATTTCTTGGGCGTTGGTTTTCAGTCCATCTGTCACCCTTCATCAGTCAACGGTTGGATTTGATCGTATGGGAATTTTACAGACTGCATATTTCAGCACTAGATAATGTTCTGTTTCCAAACTCCTCCGCCTCCCTGTCCCAAAACACTTACAACTGTTGGATCATATCTCAAGATTTCTGTACCTTGAGATCTTCACATAATCCAATGATTGTAAATGTTTTGGGACACGGAGATTTGAGAATAGAGAATCATAAGACGCATATTTCTTGAAGAAAAGCAAAGTTGATGATAAAGTGGTCCAGATGTTGGAGAGAGAGAGAGAGAGAGGTTTTAGTAATGGCAAACTTTTCAGAGAGGAAAAGGTGGTACTGATGAGTGCTTGATGGGAGCTAAAAGTTGAGCTTAGAAAACTATTCAAGAGTTGAAGGAGGAGGAGATCCATGCATATTCTCTTGCAACCCTAAAGCTGTTGCCTTTACAATGGTGGCTTTTATTTTTTTGATGAAGGGGTAAGTAGTGGGGGGCCAAAGCAAGAGGCCCTTTTTGAACTCCATTATTGCAATGTTTCATCTCTTTTGGTGACTGTCCTTGTAAACTGGATTTAAAGAGAATTCAGTGGCAAAAAAGCTTTGCCTCTAGGTTTTCTAGGCTATAAGGCTTTTGCCTAAAATAAAATTATGTAGCCTTTTCTTTTCTTTTAATCAACAAAACAAGATTAGCTACAGTGTTACATGCAATAAATGGAGGGAAGTGCTTTAAAAGTCTTCATTTCATCCCCACCCATGAAAGGGCATGTCCATTTTTGTTGATTATTGAACCAACTTTTAATCTATCATGTATATATACTATTGATGATTTTATTTTAGTACCAAATTACTACAACAATAAGCCATAGTGGTATGCCTCTTCATATATATCATCCCATGAAATCTACACCAGCTTGGATCGTATATAATTTTGTTTTATGTTGTGTTTGAATATTAAATTTTGCGAAAATTTTATATGAAAATACAGAAAGAAGAATTTGTAGAAAAAATTGACTTTTATTTAATTCACTTTTCTCTTTTCCTTTTCTTTTTTCTTTATTACATTTTTAAGATCCAAACAGGCCAAACAACATCTATGTGGGGGCTTCAAAAACATTTAGTGACTACTACAGTGCAATAATGCATGCCACTTCTTAGAAAATAATCTTGTCTTTTCTTTCCAGATCTTCACCTGGACGATGGACCCATTAATGAAATGGCTGTCTGGTTAACTCTGTCCAAGCTAGTCAAGTTTTGTTGTATGTATTTGGATCAACTCACCTATCTTAAAATTGTTTCTTGGCATGCATGTTTTTGTGTGCCCTGATGTACGGGCACAGTGCAGACATTCAAATTAAAGAGGAAAATAAAGATAAAAAAAGGAGTAAAGAGATAAGAAAAAGGGGGAAATTGGAAAAAAAGAAAAGAAGTCACATTCATGCACTAGTCTCTTCATTTTGTATACTTTACTAACATGGTTAACTGATTCTTCCACTGTGAGGACTGTTAGATGTTAGATGAGAAACAATAGTGCACATTCTATGTATGGTACATATTTTGATTGAGTTCACCAAATATTTCAATTTCCAAGGTCCAAAAACTCATTGTGAAATGACAATGATCTAAGATAAGGTTGGGGGTCTGTCAAGAAAAAACAAATGGCTATCATCAAGAGTATCACTGTTTGCATCCACATCAGCATCGAATGATGTTTAAAATGATTTATAAGATGATGCAAGGTACTTTTATTACCAAGACATATTTTGTATTAGAGCATGAAAGAACAAATACGTGAGACCAGTTGTCAGATTGACCATAGCGAATAATACAACCCAATAATAATACTTTTTTTTTCTCCCACACATTTAAATTCATAGCTCTTGTTAGGTCCCTTGTTCTTGTCAATCCCGTGAACAACTTTGTTAATTGAGTTGTACAATTTCCTTACTATTTTGTCTTCTTCGCTCGAGCGAAGGAGTCCTTGCTCGAGTGAAGGACTGCGTCTGGCAAAAACCTGAAAGAGATGAATGCGTGCTCGAGCGAAGCATGTGTGGCTCGAGCGAAGACTGTGTCTGCATAAAAACCTGAAAGTTTTCATTGTTCGCTCGAGCAAAGGTTTCGTGGCTCGAGCAAAGACACTTATGAAAATCACGCGAGTTAAGGTTCTCGGTCGAGCAAGAGAAGCTTCGCTCAAGCGAGCTTCAAAATCTGAATTTCTATAAGTAATTGGTTTTCTCCAAAAAACTAGGATTACTTTTCAAATCTACTTTAAAGTTTTCTAAAGTTTTCTTCTGGAGAGTTTTTCGTGAGTTTTCCTTGATAAAATTGAATGAGTATTAAACTCATGAATTGAGAAGCATACATCAAGGAGGTTGATCGAATACACCAACAAGAGTATTATTTTTTGGTGGATTTCGAAGATTCAAACGTAGAGTTTCAAAGGCGTTTGATTCTGTACGTAGTCGTTAATTCGACAAGTGAAGTTGTGGATTCAACTTCAGGTGGATCAGTTCCGAGACGAAGGCTTGGTGAAAGACTTACAGAAGATTTGAAGGCAAATTGACTGAGTTGGGTAATTTGTGTATTATCTTTGTAATCTTTCTTTCTTCAGTAGTAGATTGATTAGTGGCGTTTCGTTCGTGGTTTTTGATTACAATTGAAGGTTCTTTAATTGTGATTTTTTCCACTTAAAAATCGTTTGTGTCAATTTACTGTTTATTCAGAAAAACAACAATCTAAATAACTTTCGTAAGTGCTTGATGATTTGGATTGCGTGTTTTGAATAATTGGGATTTGAAATATTTTAATCTTGATCTAATCACGAATCACTTAAGATTTTCAGCTCTAATACAGTAATTATCTGGTATTTAAGCATGAAGTTGTATTTATTTATTTTTTTCCCCTCCTCGCCATGATAGGAAGGTAATATTGTTAAGGAAACGTTTCCTTGAAGACTAAAGTTAGAGAAAGCCAACTGATTGTCGGGTAGTTTAGCAGAAAATTAGCTAGCTGGAGCCTCCAATGGATTGGTATTTTAAGTTTAAGTAGTGCTATAAAAACAAAAACAACTTATAAAAATCGAATGCATACATATACTCACATATGCATGGGTCTTATAATGTGTGGAGCTCATAGATATATGAGTGTATGAGTTTCATTTTGTGATTTAACAACACTAATATCACTCAAATAAATCACGGAAGATTTATTTCTATAATAGTAGCATTTAAAAATCAAAGGCTGATCCCTCCAGTCCAGATCCAAAATCTAATCTAGATTGGAGGGTGCTGTTTAGGCCCGCGAAACCCATCACGGGTCTCATTTCGATGATCTAAATCATTTATTTTGTCACGCACTTTGTATATTTCATCCACAAAAAAGTTTGGATCAATCTGATAATTGTAACTTGTTCAATTTATTACATTTGTCACCAAAAAATGTGTGACTTATTTCAAAAAAACAAAATTGTTATCTATTTTTTTTTTTTTGTGACAAGCGTGATAAGTTAAATAGGTTATGATTGTCGAATCGACCTATTTTTTTGTGTGAATGAAATACACAAAATGTCCAAAAAAATGAACGATTTAAATTGTCAAAATAGGATCTATGATAGACCCCCAAAGCCAAATAGCGCCTCCAAATCTAGATTTTGGACTAGAAAAAATCTATCTCATTAAAAATTATAATGAAATAATAAAATTTACATGCGAGTGAAACCCATAATTTGTGGGGACCTACATATGAATGTTTGTGTGTAAAAAATGGAAAGCAAAGAAAGACCAGGAGGTTGACAACCCCTGCAACCTGTCAGACTATAGACTCATTAGCCTGGTTGGTTCACTCTACAAAATTTTGTCAAAAGTCCTAGCACATAGATTGAAGTTAGTGATGCCAGTAATCATTGGTGAAACTTAGTCAGCTTTTATAGGAGGTAGGAGCATCCTAGATGGGGTGTTCATCGCCAATGAAGTGGTTGATGGTTGGAAGAAGGCCAAGCAGCAAGGGTTGATTATCAAGTTGGACCTCGAAAAAGCCTTTGATTCAGTAAATTGGGAATTCCTGTTCTCTTTGATGTCTACTTTTGGGTTTGGGTCTAAATGGGTCTCTTGGATGAAAACGTGTGTATATACTACTCGTATCTCCATCATCGTGAATGGTTCACCAGCGCAAGAGTTCTCTCTGCAAAGAGGTCTTAGGCAAGGGGACCCATTATCACCCTTCCTTTTCAATATAGTGGATGAAGGGCTCAATATTCTTCTCACCAGAGCCCTTAATCTTGGCATCCTCAATGGTGTTCGGGTTGGGACTCATGAGGTTCTTATATCTCATCTTCAATTTGCGGATGACTCTATTCTTTTCTATGAATCTGATTTGGATCATGTCGTAATTATCAAAAGAGCACTTTGATGCTTTGAAGTCCTATTTGGACTGAGAATCAACTACCACAAAAGTTTGGTCTGTGGGTTGGGGGTGGGGGTGGAAGCTGAGTCATTGCATTCTTTTGCTAACCTCTTGAATTGCAAGGTACGTAGCTTGCCCTTGAAATTCTTAGGGCTGCCTCTAGGCGCCAACCCAAGTAGGAAATCCACTTGGAAGCCAGTGCTTGACATCATTAGATCAAGACTATCAAGTTGGAAGAGGAAATTGCTATCCTTTGTTAGAAGATTAACCTTGATCAAGTCTGTATTATCAAGCCTCCCTGTGTACTACCTTTCTCTCTTCAAGATGCTTGAAGGTGTGGCTCGTGAATTTGAAAAGATTGAAGCTGCTTTCTTGTGGGGTGGTAATGAACTAAAAAGAAAAGTTCATTTGGTGAAATGGACCGAGGTCACAAAGAGTTCGGTCCAGGGAGGTCTGGGTATTAGAAGGATTAGAGATGTGAATGTATGCCTACTTCTCAAATGGTGGTGGAAATTTGGGAATCAAATAAATGCACTATGGAGGAAAATTGTGTGCAGCAAATACAAAATTGAAGTGCATGGTTGGCATCCTTCTCTCACTTCTTCTTATAAGCACTCTAGGGTGTGGAAGGATATTTCATTCATTGGGTCTCAGAATAGTAACATCTTCAACTTCTTCCCGGGGAACTGCAAAATCAAGGTCGGGAATGACAGTAGAATCAAATTTTGGCATGATAGGTGGTGTGGTGTCTCTTGTTTCAAGGAGGTGTTTCGCTCTTTATTCAACCTTTCTACAGAAAAGAATGGTTCTCTCCACCAATTTTTTGCTAGGAAAACCAGCAACTCTGATTGGCACTTCCTTTATAGAAGAGTACTGTATGCTTGGGAGCTGGCTGATGAAGTGAGATTAATTGCTTTGTTATCCTCTGTTCCTTCTCTGAACCCAGTTAGTGCTGATAGTCTAGTTTGGAATTCTGTATCTGCAGGTTCATACTATTTCTCAGTGTCTTCTCTATATTCCTTCAGCACTTCTCTTCATGGTCCTAATCTTTGTATTAGTAAATTTATTTGGAGTAACATTTTACCACCCAAAGTCCATTTCTTTGGGTGGTTGGCCTGGAAAAATAGAGTCAAAACTGCTGAGTTCTTGCAAAACCTTGGCATCCTAGATATCTCTGCCTCCATCTGCTGTTCTTTCTATAATTCTGCCTCTGAATTTGCTTAGCATATTTTACTCCACTGCCCATTCTCTTGGTCCATCTGGTCTCGTGTGTTGTTTGAATGGAGGCTTCAATGGTGCATCTCAGAATCAGTGGCACATCTTCTCAGCTGGTGGATGGGTGTCAAATTT